CCCCCCCCCCCCCCCCCCCCCCCGAACCTACTTCCCCCCTCCCCCATCTACCGGCCTGATATTATTACATTTAAAAGCTTTTGTTCAGTGTATTTACTCACCCGTAACCTAGCATTCTACAGACCACTGCAGCATCGTTGTCATCCCAGTAGTCATCACAGACAGTGCCCCATTCAGTGCTCCATGGTCTGTGTTGGAGGACCTCAACTCTTCCCTCACCCTCTTGAGCACCACCCACCAATCTGACTCCACCTGCAGCCAACATTTTTGTAGTGCTTTACATCAATTATCATATCCACGCACTGACTGTACATTCAGGTTTTGAATATTACTTATATAATAATAATAATAATAATAACAATAATGATAATAGTTTTATTTCATGAGCACAATAACACATGCTCCGTACATTGACAATGCTCTTTTCTAAATTGTCAATGAGTTATCATATAATACACACCAAGAGTTATGTATCCTGGACCAAAACATCCGACACCAGCATCCTGAGAATGACCACACTTGTATATCATCCAACCCTTGTGACTGCAATCTTGGATAGAGGTCTCACTCCCGGAGCAGGCGACGTAATTCATAAGAATGGGACCAGTACCTTCGCCGAAATACGCGCCGGAATAGGAAAACGCGTGCTCTGAGCTGCAATTATGATAATTGCCATGTAAGTAGTTGATAGCATTTTTTTTTCAATCAAAATCTGTTAAAGACAGTCTCAGCGCGTTAAACCCTTAAAATAGCACGAAAATGAATTATTCTGGAAATCTCACCAATTTCCCCATAATGGCCAATGTATATCCTATCCAAAACCGTTCAGAAAATGAAACTACCTAATACCGTTTTTAAGTTTCATTAATTAATAAAAGACGACTCGTCTTAAAAACTCAGCTACCACCTCAGAGTACGGCTTCAGAACGCGCAATTTCTCGCTAAGTCTCGCGGTTTACTATGAATGAAGTACTACGGCTGAGACCCGGGTGTTACTATTTGGCGCCAAGACAGCCAAGATGGAGACGCGGGGAAACTATTGCAACCGGTACAAAAGAGGAAGAAAAAAAAATGTATACACTACGGTTCTTTAATTACGGAAACTATGGAGAATCCGGCAAAAGAACTACCCATACAGTCTAGATTGGTAGTGAGGTGGGCCGCTGCAAGAAGCTGAAAATTTTAAATGTCAAGTTTGAGGCAGTGGCAAAACTTCTCCTCGGCACGTGAGTATACGCTAAACAGGTCTCAAGTTTATGCATGGCTATTAGTGCAGCCCGTTTACTATGTTTCTAGTTAGTAAGTAACAAGGTGAATTTCGTTCTTCGTGTCTTCTAGATTTGGTTTGTGTAGAATCTACAGGCGATAATTAACCAGATAGGAAGTGTTTGTAGGAAGTGTCTGTATTGCAGAATACTCACAAAAGTCAAATAAAATTTACATAATTGAAGTAACATTCGTTTGCTTTTTGAAAAAAAAGTTTAAATTGTAGAATTTAATTGATTAAAAAATAACAATGGCAAATTTAGAAAATCTGCATCTAATAACATAACAATACCTCCCAGGTGTGTTTTTTAAAACCTTAGGTGATGATGAGCTAATTTTGTAAATATCCCCAGTACTTGTTTTCTATTTAATTTTCTTTTCTTGCAGTAAAATATCTGACATATATATATATAGCTCCCAATAAATAATTCAGGAGTAGCACATTTTCTTTCCTGGGAAGTTGGGATTATCCTAGACTCTTTATTCAAATTATATACCAATGAAGAGTATAAGTTGTTCATGGCCTGCAAAACTTGAAGCGAAAAGTAAATTGGGGGAAATGTTAAGAATAATTCTATTGTTCTTGCTAAAAAGCTTAGAAAAAAGTTTTTGTATTAATGACAAGAGATCAACAGTATCACAAAACAAATATGTATATTTTTTTGGTTTATTGTGTTTTTGGTTTATTGTATTATGCATAAGAAGATTACAGAACATTTTTGCGAATAATTAATTATTTTTACCACATCAGATATGCAGATGCAAGGCACTAGGGCTGATCAGATGAATGTCAATGTCATGTGCAAATCACTTGCACTTAATTCTACCATTTGGTATGACAATACACCACCAGTGTGGATTAACTCTCTTAAAACAAAAAGATAAATTCAAGCCATGCACATTTGATTACATAAACTTTAACCCATTTCAGTGTTGGTTAACACAAAGAGATCTAGTTGTAACATACTTTAATAAAGAAGTTGAATAGAAGTTTTGTAAGTAAATGTAACAATACATTATAAAAAAAAGAATGAGACATGAATAGTTGAATGTACACATCGGTACACTGCTATATTATAAATATTCTACACGGTGCACATATACACATCACAGGCCTTGTCCTGATTCAAACAATCTAAGTTCGCAATGGCCCAGTAATCTTGAGGCAGATGGCACTGCTGGTAAAATCACTAGAAAATTGAAACCCAGCAAGGTTTAACTCGACTATCTCCTCTAGGGAGATATCTCTACATGATGAATGCATGCTGATCAAGGCATTGTCCTCTTCTCCTTTGTATCCTCATTGTGAAACCAAAAAATGGCACCCCTGGCCACTCTTGGGCTTCCCAGATGGAATTTGTTAGTGATGTTCAATATCATGGTCTGCAATGTAGAACATGCATATTTACATGGATGCAGTATACATGTAGTTCAAATGTCTTTAAATGCATAATAATATTAAGAAAGGTATGAATAACAGCACATTTATTCAATTATTTTTTTAAATCCTGTATAATGTTTTGGTAAAATTTTGAAAATAATAAAAAAATAAAAGTAACCACACACATTATTGTCATAGCACAGTTATTTAAATACCATTTACTGAAGTTCCAAGGATATTATTAACTTCATTGAAAAAAGTGATATTTCAGGAGAAAACTTACTGGATCTCTATTAAGCTGAATAAGGCAATCATTCGACTGGTGCAACAAGATATACCTGTTTGAGGGACAATAACTATTTACATTAACTAGGTCCTTTCTTAGAATTTTCTCCATTGACCACTGACAAAAATGGGTTTCTTTTGTCCCTTTGGGCATCCTTTTCAACATTGTTACACTTGTCCTAAAATGAATGGCAAAAAAGTTATTGACAGTTTTCAAGCCTGTTTAGAAATAGCAAATCTACAACAGCCTATTAACTTGTCATTTTCAGATGAGAAATTTATAGTGACCTTAATTATTTTAAAAGAGAAGTAAAGAAACAACCCAACATGTTCAAACACTCAGTCTCATTAAAAAAATTAAAATTTATTAGACCTATTAATGATTCGCTCTCGATTTACCTGCTTGGTTCCACTCGAGTGCTGCCACTAGTAGGCCTACTAAATCCTGACATTACTATTCGAGTCGTTTGCACCGTCAGTGTACAAAATGAAATTGAAAATGTGAGTCACTTCTCCATTAATGTCCAGACGAACGTTACATGTTATAATAGGAAGATATAATAAAACGGCAGGTAGGGCTGAAGATATTTTCAAGTGCGAAGAATCTTTGAGGAATCGATCAACACGATGGAGTTCCATTCCACTAACTTCGCCGTTTGCAAAGAAAACCCAACAAAGCACGCGATACATACATTCTCAAAAGTTATTGTGATCTTAAATTACTCTTTTGTCAAATATATACCAAAAAAACACGATAAGAGGATAAAAATACGCACTTACTTTTCTCGCCTTGTATTCGTGACGTCAGTATCATCTATGTTCTGACTGAACCCTGCTGTGATTGGTCGTAAGCGTGGGAATATCCAGGTCGTGACCTTGAGCCGGAAGTACTTCCGGTTGTGCTCCGAAATCATGATAAATAATTTTCGTTTTCTAATTCTTTATTCTAGTCGTCTTTACAGAACTTTTGTGACCCAGACTGATTAATACAATAATAAACAATCTCCTAAAACACAAATCCGATCTAAGTTTTACATAGAACCTGTTTCTATACATTAATTTAACCCACTGAGTTGTCCTTTAACATAATTCAACAAAAGTTTTGCTTACTCGTAGCCAAGCATTCTGCAGACCACACGTGCATCATTGTCATCCCAGTCGTCATCACAGACAGTGCCCCATACACCGTTATGGAACACCTCAACTCTGCCCTCACCGGCACGAGCACCACCCACCAATCTCGCTTTAACTACAAAGACATGGCGGATGACGGTCAGCAAAAAAAAAAAAAAAATATATATATATATATATATATATATATATATATATATATATATATATATATATATATATATATATATATAAGTTCGTATTTGCTTATACATTTTCACGAGACAGTATTAACGTTCATTTTGAGTAAAATGGGGGGGGGGGTCGTGGATAGAGGTAAGAGTACTCTCGACCATTGACGCGCCATCTGTGTAGCATTGAGACTAATGAAGATAGCAGATGACACATAGTATTATCTCACGGGTAAAAAAGCTTAGTTTGTGACTAAAGCACTTTTGGCTATGCTTACTTGCTGGTTGCCCTGAACCGACAGCAATAAGCGTTAATAGTAGGGATACCCCTAAGATCATAGTGCCCTTACTTGTCATTTGGTACATTTGGAAACCTGAAAGATTAGCAGAAACTACACCATAACCTGTTTATGAATAATAAATGAATAAAAAAGACGAAACGTTCTACCTGATATAATGAAAAGATAGATCAAAGAAGAAACAAAAGAACCAGTGAGGCAGAAAACGTTTGCCAACCATTAGGTTGATAGCCTTCAACTCCTTTACGCCAGAACATGCCTCCAGACACCCTTCTTTATGTAAAGTCTTTTCAAAACAAGGACTAAGAAACAGCTTCAAAAGTCGATCTCTTTCTTTTTTCTTATTTTATCTAATTACTGTTGATATCTACACATAATCCTTAGCCTTGAATGTCATCTTAGTCTATATATTTTTTCCTTTGGTGCATCAAAGAAGGGTACATTTGCATTCTTCCGTTCTATAAGGTACGATTATTTTCAAAACTGCTGTTCCACACATTTAGGTGTCATGAAATCCTCTCTTCTCTTGCTGCATCTACATCTATGCCCTCTAGTATAACCAAAGAGCTGCTTTTTTCCCCCATTTCCTTTCATGCACTTTTTTACTTACTAAATATAGATTCCAATTCAAAATTGAATATGTATGATCTGGTTCAGGTCGATGACCTACTGTTCAGCAATGGCTGCAAGTGGTGTCTGCCTATTTTAATATATCAAAATGTTAAAACTCGTAACATGGTGATATTTGCATAACGCTGTACTTCATTTACACATCACATGCTACTTGGATATAATTTAATTTTGACATGCCGTGCTTTGTCCAAACTTAAGTCACATTTTGCCATTTACATCCTCTTATTTAATGAACAGAATCTTGTTTCTATTGAAAACCCTATCACTCTATACAGGTAACTCTAAGTGTTTTTTCCAGAGCTTTACCTGGCGTTTTACTCCTAAATAAGAGTAAGTCTAACGAAGCAATTACATACAGATTGAATATGCTTGAAATTATACAGGATACTTACCAAGTGAAAACGCCACACTTCTGAACACAAGGCGCTACTATACTGACAGAGATCAGAGGGAAGACTGTGGCAGCTTAATGGCGACATCATGTCTTATTTGTTTTAATCCCAAAAGTTCATGCACAGTTCATTTATATATGCCTTTAATGTCTATGTCCAACTTCACGCAATAAGGTGTCACAGATTTTGTAAAACGGTGTTCATCAGCCGCGAGATTTCCCTAATTGAAAATGTTCAGACATTTCACGTGGATAAGATGTGTTAAATTCAGCGCTTTAATGAGTCCCTTGCCAATTTAATGTTTTAATGACTTTTTTTGTTGAGAATGGTTTACTTTTTATTACTTTAATGTTAAGTTCCCGGATTTCATGAACACCATTTGTTTAATTATTCTGATTCTATTTCACTTAATATGCTTTGCTTGTGCTTTAATAGGCTTTAAGTCAAACAAATGTGTTGTAGGGTATTTCGATAATTTCTTGTTATTTTCTAATTAATGGCAAGAAAGTAACGACAGTAGACGACCTGAGATAGGTGTTACAGAATCTATAATCACTTTGACATAAATCATTACTTAGAAATTGTAATAACAATGAGTGTACACTGACACCTTGTTAGAAAAGAAATGAAAACGCCAAGCTTTCGACGGCAGCTATTGGTATTGAAGCAGCATACAAATATATGGCAAAGTTATTTGAGTAGAATGTCACCAAAATTATTACTGATTTATTTAAAATATTTTAAACATTCCCCACCTAGTTGCTGTATTACAACTTGTAAGATCCTGTTAAACATTGCACTTAGGCTGCGTGTACTTAAGTGTTGAGGAGTTAGAAGAAAATAAAACACACTTTATAGTAAACTGTATTTTTATTGCATAAAATTACATTTTAGATTGGTCTGCAAAGGAGATATCCTTTGAAAATATACAACTCTCGCAGCACCCCCTCCATTTCCTGGGTGCTAGACATGGTACTACAGGAGCGGATCCGGGATTTTTTGAAGGGGGGGGGGGGGGTCTGCGGATGCTAAATCGACCCCCCCCCCTTATTGTGGGATCCGGGGACGAAAAGAATGGTATTTTAGAGGGCGAACGGTGCCGCTTGGTACGATTTAGAATTATGATTCAGCAACTAAATATTCTAATTTTAAGAATGGACCATTGGTGTGCCTTTTTTTTATCAGGAATCGGGGGAGGGGGTCAAACCCTTCCACTTGACACCCCCTAAATCCGCCACTGTTAACCGCGCCACTTTACCGGGTTCTTAAAAGTAATTCGTCCAGGGGAGGGGGCAGGGGCTACTCCTTTTCACAGACCCCAAGGCATCCAAAAATCAATCATTTAAGTGACAATCTTTCGTAATAGCCAAACGTTTTTAGTTAGATGATTTCAGATGCTGTTATTTTCATTTTGTTTACACTGACTTTAAAGCAAAGAGTAAAGAAATATAATTTACGACGCAGACTTTGTGATAATGTTGAGCAATAATTTGTTGTCGTTCTGCGGGGCCAGCTAGTTGTAGTGGTGAACTGGCATGCGTCGTCCGGGATTTGAACTCATGACTTCCCGTTACCACGAAAAAGGTCAATTCTTTCTAATTCAGGGGTCAGCCACATATATGATCAACCTCCTGTGATGAAGGATAAAAACATCATGACATGTGGATAAAAACATGTTTAGTCTCTCCAACTGTTTTTCACCACAGAATGTTTTTTTTTTTTTTTTTTAATTTAAGCGAATCATTTTTCAGGATGCTGTGAGAGAAGAGAACTATACCTCAGGCACTAAAGCGTCACAGTCCATGCCTCTGTTTGCCTGGGGGTTGCCCTTCACGCCTATCTGAACAAAATATAGAAACGTCTTATTGAACATCTTAGAAGTTATAATTTATGATGCTTTTAACCTTATGTCAAAGGCATAAAGTCTGCCGTAATTCTTCGGTATTGATTATTATATGTCAGTTTGTGAAAAATTACACTTGTCCAAGATGTCCACCCAGGTTGGCGAAGATAAGGGGGTACCTTGCTGCACCTTTCTAAACAGACGTCATATACCAGTGACCCCCCTCCTTCCAGATGGTAAATAAGAAATGAAGAAAGGGGATTGAAAAGGTGGCTTTGTAAAATGCCGACAAAAATATATATATATTGCTAGGAGAGTAAAGGCAATATCTCATGTTCAGATAAGTAATTCAGCTATGTTTAACAACCAAACTGATTTTCAAGTCTGGTAGTTGCAAATGTAAAATGACGTTAACTCTTGATCCACAATTAGCATATGAAGGCATTGTTTTATATTCTTAATTTGTCACCATTCACATTTTAATGCTATTCATAATTTAAATGAACACGTGCCTGTATTTCTTTGTATATTACACTTATGGTAATATATGCAAATAACTATAACGAGTGAAGTGTAGGTTATTGCTACGTGTAACTTATTTTATTTTCTTACTCGGTACAGCAACAGTTGTTGAGGGTGTTAGTTCTAGTGTATAGTTTTGGTTTTCATGCTAGATGGACTGTTTTGGGGATGAAATTGGTCTAAATTACAACATCGTTTTTTCATAATGTATTTCCTTGGAATCTCTAAAGAGTCAAAACAAATCTCGAGAATACCCCTGCATGTAAAACATGGTAGTCAATTACTATACGAATATACATTATCATATAGACTACCCTGCTAAGACGTGTGTTACTCCATTTCTGCACATTGTTACAACAGTACCCATGGCTTTTATTTAATTAATTAACGAATAGGCAACTGATCATCGTGAAAACGCCTTCTATATTTAACTAATATGGCTTTTAAGTGAGAAGGTTACAATTTCGACAATACAGCTGATAAAGGCTAATTTTTTTTTTCGTACCGCAGAATTGCCAACATACTGGGCATTTCCACAAATAATCAGTCTGAGGGTTAGACGACGTCATTACCAAACAGGGATATTGGCAAGATTGCTTAGGTCAGGACAACCTATGGGGCCACACCCAGGGATGAGATAGTAATCATATCCCTACGTGTAGAGAACGTTTCATGACATTAAGTAACTTGACAGCAAAAAGTAAAAAATGAGCAAACCATGTTCCTATGTTTTCCGGTGGTAGACACCTGAACAACCTAGTTATTTAAGCAGGAGTGGCGTTAGAAGAACAATGATAATCGCCATGGTCCGCCTTCAAATATTATGATGGCGTATCAGAATTCTCGAGCGGACAATTTAACAATTGATGATATTGCTCTCAGATGAGAGCAGGCTATGTGTTGGCAGAAGTAATGGGCTCGTAAGGTTTTCAGGACGGTTGGTGAGAAGTTATTTTTTCCGAATTATCTGCCACTGGTAGACAGGACTAACCGAAAATCAGTTTTGTGGTATGGTGTGTGCGTTTTGGCTACCACTGGGTTGGGGAGTTGGAAGTGATCAACTGGAATCGTAAATATTCATTAGTCGTACAATTCGTAAAATTTAATGAAAAAAATCCATCAAGAAGCTGAATAAAAACGCAAGCATTGGGTAATGACTTGTTTATTTGCATTTCGGATTTATTAAAAGTAAATAGATGCATACATGTATAAACAGGCGTTTAGTTGTGTAAAATAATGTAGTAGTAAAAGGCAAGGCTATATATGTCAGAGGGTTTATATTCAATGTACATGTAATTCTGGACTTATCACGTTTAACATGCATGCATTAATCTTTTTCACTATGATACTTTGAACATTTCCAGTCAGTGCAATAGGAAAAAAAAATATGTAGCTATTTTGTCCAGGTGGACCCTTATTATGCTTTTGGGGATCTGTTCTTATGGCGAACACCTGACTCCAGCATCTTCCGAATGTGTACAGTCGTTTGATCCCCATCCACCGTGGAGACAGTCTTTCAGGGATCTCTCTCTGCCAGTACAAGCCACCTCATCCATATGAATAGATCCAGAACCTCGACCAAACTTAGCACTACCGACTGCAGTTGCGCTACGGTCGCTACAAAAACAATTATATTGCGTTTAAGCTTCCAACATAAAAATGGTTATCGAATATTATATATATATAGCGGAAGGTTTTAGATGAGTTATCTAAAAACACAGTTGTGCACCTTAATTAATTAACTAGAAATCCTTTGATCAAATACAGTTACAAATTTCAGGTGTACTAATTATACAGAGTTTTATGATATAACCAAGTATAAAGTTTCAGGCATAATCTGGATGAGAAGTCACAAGATGCTCACAAAGTATTACCGACTTTACCAAAGTACTTTTCGTTACGAGGGGGTGTGCCAGTCAACCTGAACGAAATTAAGCACAAATCACCAAGGAGTTAGATCGTTTCAGCTGGTAAGATAGGGTTGTGGGAATGGTCCCTTAAAACAAACAATGTACTTACCTGTAACCAAGCATTCTGCAGACCACACGAGCATCGTTGTTATCCCAGCTGTCATCACAGACAGTGCCCCATTCACCGTTGTAGAACACCTCAACTCTTCCCTCGCCGGAACGAGAACCACCCACCAATCTTACGACTGCAAAGAATTGCGGAGGACGATAAGCAAATTTTATATAAACACTACCTATTTGCTAAGGCACTGTGTCACACAAAACGGGACATAAAAATCTTGTCCAATTCAAAAATCAATTAAACACCACTATATGATACCCTTTCGGGGCCATGGCAAAAATAATCTAAATACCATTTTGTAGCGTGACTTCAATACGTATATTAAGAATCTGTCTGTACACCCACCAGGCCCTGCAACGACACATCTGACACCAGCATCCTCAGAGTGACCACAGTTGTGTGTCTTCCAACCTCTGTGTCCGCAATCTTGGATAGAAGTTTCACTTCCGGAGCAGGCGACGTTATCCATAAGAATGGGACCAGTGCCTTGACCAAAACGAGCGCCGGAAAAGGAAACGGAGCCACTGGGACTGGAATTTGTAAGCCACATTAAACTAAAGAATCAGAGAGGCGATACTGCCCCGGGTATTGTACAACCAGCTGCGGGAAGCAAAAAAGGTACACCACCTCCGGTGTTATGCTTCACAAGTTTTACAAAATGCATGAAAACAAGAGTTTACAATTTTCAACAAAGTCATGGGGAAAACAAAAGTGGTTCATGACTAAGAGTAGGCCAAACGTCAATTGTAAGGTCACATTGCCAGTATATGATTTCTTATTCAAGTGCAATAGTAACTCCCAGGTTTGGAGATATGAAACGGAAGGGTTGCAAGGTTCAGTTCATGGTGAAACGTATGCCAAGGGTCAAATTCAAGGCCACAGTGAGATGACCAGTATATGACTTCCTATTCACGTTCAGTGGCACCTATGGGCGTATCTCTGGCAGTTCTAAAGATATGAGAGAAGGAATCCTTGCAAAGTTTAGTTCATGGTGAAATGAAGGTCAAACGTCAACTTTAAAGTAACAGTTAGATTGCCGGTATATGACTTCCTACTCAAATTCAATAGTAAATATGGCCATATCTATGCCAGTGTTGAAGGTATAAGCAGCAAATAAGGTCCAAAAATCAGTACATGGTAGAAAGTAGGTCGAGGGTCAATTTTAAGGTCACATTTAGAATTAGGTTCCCAGACAGTGTATGACTTCCTATTCAAATTCAATAGTAACTATGGTCATATCTATGCCAATTGTGAAGGTATATGCATAGAAAAAGTTGCAAAGTTCAGTCCATGGTGAAGAGTACGTCAAACGTTAAATTCAAGGCCACATTTAGATTGCCAGTATATGACTTCCTATTCAAGTTCAATAGTAACTATGGACGTATATAGGGGACTAAAATGTTGCAATTTTGGAGTTACGGTAATAGGCTATACATTTTGTACAGAAGAAATGAATTGCAATAAACAAAGGATGATTTTGGTTGATATTCTTTAAATCCCAGCAGACAAACGACATTGATTCACCGTTGAATCAACGTTAATTTTGGTGGATCAACGTTGAATCAACGTAGAATCAATGTCGTTTGCCTGCTGGGAATGGGTGGTGTTCAAAAGTTCCAGATGATCAAATTTTATGAAATAATGTCATTTTTGACTAGAAGTTGTCTGTCTCGCTTTTGTTATCGTATCCAGACGTTTTATGCATGTTACCGTATTTTACATTTTACTTTCACCACCACAATATACTTTTTGATACAGCGTAACTCGTAAACCATATGGAAAACAAAAAACGGACACTACTTTCAATATTAGGCTTGATATGCTCTTTCAAATTCAAAGTACAAGGATCTCTAGCATTAACGGTTCCAGAATTAGAAAGAGTTTTCTGTTTCGGCATCTAATGGCGGCTTCTCCCGTCCCAGCGGGTAAATTATGTTGTTTTAACGTTGAAACAACGTTGGACCATAACGTTGAGAAGACATTGGATAAACGTTGGATTTGAAAGTTGTGTCAACCTCACATAACAACGTTGTATCAACGTCATGTTAAATCAACCCCACCCAGCGGGAAATTAGCCTGGATGTGTTTAGCAGTAAGACATGTTTGATGGCTAAATATATGTAGGGTGTAAATGTATGGCCTTTAAGTTAAATTTTCCAAGGTTTAGATTAAAAAAAAAAATATATATATATATATATATATATATATATATATATATATATATATATATATATATATATATATATACGATTAAAATTAATAAATAAATTAATTAACAAGAGACATGCAATAACCCTGACTCCGAGTTTCACGGGCATACCCAGAAGGTAGGCCCGAGCATGCATGTTATTGCATGTCTCTTGTTTATTTATTTATTTATTTATTTATTTTAATTGTGTAAAAATGCTCCGGACTGTTGAGCACTCTGTTCTACACTTACGCTTGTTATATATATATATATATATATATATATATATATATATATATATATATATATAACAAAGTCACAGTCACCTCAACCCGTCTATCTATAACAGGTTACCAAGAACTGTTAACTCCATCACATTTACAGCAACTTATTCATCCTAGCGTTGGCTGTCCTTGCAAGGAATTCAGAATTTAGAATTCAGAATTTAAGAAACTTCACTAGCTAACTAAAGACACAAAACGATTTTCACTTTTACTTTAAAACCCTTTTGTTATTATATTGATAAATTTAGTTACGGCAGTTGATAAACAAAGTATCATGTTTTCAATAATTAATATTTTAAATTACAATTCACAACTGCAAGGTTGTGTCATTGACCAAAATACAATGTTGAGTCAACGTCACATTATGACGGTGTTTCGACGTGGCTGGATCAACGTTGATTTTACTTTGAATTTAGGTAGATCAACGGCAATTCAACGTATCAACCTGTTTTCAACGTTGATCCAACGCAACTATGCCTGCTGGGTTGAAATAACCTTGCGCGCGTTATACGTCACAGGTCTTGCGTAACTACCCACGTGCTACGATTTTTCCCTTGGGGGGCAGCAAGCGGACATTTTGTACAGGAGCAATTCAAAGATGGGTGAAAACGATACGTTGTTTTTAACCGAAGACGATGTCCCCGGGGCAAAACTGCCAACACCAAAAGTAAAGGAGCATACCAACGTTGTTTTCAAACGATGTGGTTAGCCTGTCAGTGGCGAGTTGGGGAGAAAAGAGCAGCACTGATAGCAAGGTAGGGTCTACTGTGTGCACGTGAACCGACAAAGTTAATGATAATTTCATGTTGCAAAAGCATAATTAAATCAGTTAATTATTTTCCAAACGATATTATTTGAATAGCAGATACATAGATCAAACTAAAAACAATAAAAAAATTTGATGACATTGAAAATCAAAACCTGCGGTGCACGATAGGTTGAGGAGGACACTGCCATAGCAAGTAATGCATGATTTTTGTTACATAACACCATATGCTTGTGTCGTTGTTAACTCTGTGGTATTATAACTGCTCAAATGAATACCTGATATTATTTCTCAGGCTATCAAGTACAAATCAACTTATTTTGTGGCAATTGACCTCCATGTTCCATCATGTGTGCAGGCTGTTTATTATTATTATTATTATTATTATTATTATTATTATTATTATTATTTGTTCAAGCACATTTTGATAACATGGCTATGCTTTAACAAGAGAAAGTCAAAATTTATGCTGAAGTTTAAAAGATTTTATCATCAGGAGTATGTACAATTAAAGCTATTTGATTATGCATATTTGATTTTCAATTATCTTGATTATGATATGAGGTTTCTGCCTTTTTCTCTTGCCCTCAAATCAATATATAACAAGTAAATTGATAGTGCTTTAGTACAATTTAGGCTTTATACTTTCAGATGTAAAAACTGTGTAGCTGTTGGTAAAGCTGTAGAGATTGATGTGAGCATAGATCAGGGGAAATGGTATTAGAAAACTAGGAGGACAAGACATAGATAATGTACTAGTAGATCCATCATCACAGCAAGGGTAGATGGTGTGATCTTGTCCCTGAAGCTGTGCCACTGGCGGAATGGTTGCAAGGTTCAGTTCATGGTGAAAAGTAGGTCAAGGGTCAAATTCAAGGCCACAGTGAAAGTGCCAGTATATGACTTCCTATTCACGTTCAGTGGTACCTATGGGCGTATCATTGGCAGTTTTGAAGATATGATAGAAGGAAACCTTGCAAAGTTAAGTTCATGGTAAAATAATAATAATAATAATAATAATAATTTTATTGAGCACTAAAACGTTTCAGTACATAAAATGAAGGTCAAACGTCAACTTTTAAGTCACAGTTAGATTGCCAGTATATGACTTCCAATTCAATTTCAATAGAAACTAAGGGCGTATCTCTGTCAGTTTCGGAGATATAAGGGACTAAAATGTTGCAATTTGGAGTTACGGTAATGTGTCGTAAATTTTGCACAGAAGGAATTAATTGAAATGAACAGAAGGCCATTTTGGTTGATATTCTTGAAATGGGTGGTGCTCAGATGATCAAATTTCATGAAATAATTTCATTTTTGAGCAGTTGTCTGCCTTATGTTATTGTATCCAGACGTTTGAAAATTAATGCATGTTACCGTATTTCACATTTTACCTTCACCACCACAATGTACTTTTTGATATAGCGTAACTCGTAAACCGTATGAAAAAAAAGCGGAAAAAAACCCGGCACTACCTTCAGTATTGGGCTTGATATGCTCTTTCAAATTTAAAGAACAAGAGGTCTCTAGCATTAACAGTTCCAGAATATATATATATATATATATATATATATATATATATATATAT